AGCTAGGGATGAGGAAAGGTTGACACTTTGAAATCCTATTCACTTTTCACTTGCCCTTGGTATTAGGATTACTACAAAGTATTACAACCAGGTCCTTGAGTATGCACTGCTGCCAGAATGCTTAAATTTGCAGAAGACAGAGAAGCAAATAAACATAATAGGCAACAGTTAAGACACAAAGGGATGGTAGTCGCAGGGAGCAAAGTCACAGAATCTTTCTGATGGGAAGGGACCTCAGGAGGCCCCTGGCCCAACACCCTGCTCCAAGAGAGGTCAACACTGAATTCAGATCAGTTTTCTGTAAACAAACATTAGATTTTGAAATGTCATAGCAATCTCTTTTTGTTGTAACGTGGCACAAAGAAAAGACTAGCTCAAAATCTTATGTTAGTGACGCGTGATTTTAAACAAATGCTGCTTTAGTTCAGAGCACTGTCCCTTGGTTTACGAGGCCGGTAAGTTACACTGAAACCAGCCCGTTGCTGCTGGGTGCAGAGCTCCCTTCAGCACTGCAGCCCCCTGCCCTGCCAGCTACCTCTGCTGGGTCAAAGCCAGTGCTACTCATCTCTGGCAGTCCTGGGGATGGCACAGCTGGAACGAAGAGGACAGAGGACGGGGAAAAAAATGAAAGCAAATGAAGTTTTCTGAGGCTTTATGCAGATTCTGTCTTCCCCAGCAGAAATTATTTCATCCTCCTCCTGCCAGAGTTGGGAAAGCTTGTTCCCTCAACTTGAAAGCAGTTGCTTTAACTTACGTAGATGTTATCTGAGGCAGCAGCAACAGCCTTTAATTTTTTAAAAGAATTAAGCATTCACATCTTCATTTCCTGATTACAGCTATTGAGTGTCATTAAAAAAAATCCAAATAAAAAACTGCTGCATTTACTCATAAATAATTTATAAAATGTATCAGCATTTCATAGATATTCAGGATATTTACAATTTTTGATACTGAGATTCTCATTTTAATACACATATCTTACAGCTTTTCTCCATTTCGCCTGAAGTGAACAGCATGATCTTACAAAAATAAGATAGACAAATAAACTCATCTAGTTTCCAAGGAACAGGTGCACTGAACAGTTACTGACCACCATGGCTTTTTTTTTTTTTTTTTTGGAAAGACTGCACCCTGGTGGACATATCACCAATTTTAATTAAATATTATACAAGTGACAAAACATCCCTTGAAGACCCAGTGAGAATTTGTAACAGGGGAAAAAAAAGAAAGCAGCAATGAAGATATTAAACCACTGGTAATCACACGCACAAAATCAAAGAAATCTTACAGCATACAACCTAATTCTTATATTTTTGCTGATTCACAGAGACAATCATGAACAGTGGGAGATGACCCAGTCCACCCCAGAGACCAGAGGCCCATAAAAGCACTTGGGTGCATACAACTTGAGAACCTATCAACATCATCCCAATAGCCAAAGGAGATCACTTCCCCAACCATTTCTCAGAAAAACTACCCTCCTGGAAGACAGTTGATTTATTTTTAGATGCTGGAAAAAAATATTATTGGAATTAGTAGAAGAGTCATTCCAAGAACACAGGAAGCGTTCCTATACAAATGGAACAATCCACCTGCAGACCAACTCTGGAGCTTCAAACCTGGTAAGACCCAGTTGTGGAACAACATATGCCCAGATACTCTGCGAATATGATATAGCGAGAGAAATATATACCAATGCCCTCTTATGAAATTCAAATTCCCACTATAAACTTTTTTTGTTGTTTGGCTTTGGTATTCTAAGCTGTTACCAGGATTTAGTTCCATGGATAACCAAACTGAGCAGACACTGCAATTAGACTTGCACTAATTTAACTGCCTGCTTTTATTAAGCCACTATTTCAATGAGCTATTTTCCAAGCTATAAGGTTTCTGTTAACAGCAGAGAGATATTACTTTGGATTTATGTCAAAATCAATACAGTGGTTTACTTGTCCTCCAACTGTATTGACACAGTCTCTGGGACTCTATTTGCTCGGTACTTGTAAAAGAGGGACAGTATTCTAATGAATAGGGCCACTGGGCCAAGCACAGCTTCCCGTGGAAGTGGAGACTTCTTATAGCTGGGTTGAATTTGGTCCAGCATCATTCTCATGGCGAAGCTCTGAACAATTTCTACTTTCTAGCGGTTATGTGAAAGAGAATCTTTTCTTTCTGGCTCGGACTCCTAAACGCAGCTGCAAAAGACAGCTTGCTTTTATCCTACTCAGCTGGTATGCCATATAATGTGCCCTGACTCCCACATCTCCTTCAGTTTTACTTAGGAGGTAGATATTTCATGCTACATTTTAGCAAGGAAAGGTACAATTCCACCTACCTGCATAATTTCAGCACACCTGAAAAGGGTTGGTTAAATAATCAGGCTTTGATGTGCATTCCAGAAAGACAGCTAATTAAAGTATGTTTACACCGTACTGTGCAATGCAGCGTACAGAGACCCAAGGTAGCTCAGGTATGCGGAACAGTGCAGCTGGACTAACCCATTCTGACTGCACTGGCCTCTCTGCAGAATCAAAGGAATCAGAGAATAAAGTGCCTACAATTCTAAGAGGTAATAGCAACTGTAGGTGTTGCACGTAACATGAGTAGACGGAAAAAAAAATATCAGAAGCGTTATTTCCAAGTCAGAGTCATTTTAAGCTCTTACAATATCAGTCTTACTGATGAAATAATCCTGTTACAACCAAGTTACTTAATACTCATAAAGAGCTTTGAGATTCATCGACAGAAGACTGTTTCTTATTAAATAAGACATTAATATCTTGTGAAAGAGAGATTTTAAAATACTAAATGCTGCATGAATGAAGCAGGCCACTTCTAGGATGAGTATTGATGCTGAAATAGCTATGAAATTATTTTTCTACTGTATTCATGAACAGTTTGTGCACAGCACATAAAAAAATCCATAATTCCACTCATACTGAAAATTTATACATGCCCACATAATTAAGGAGAGTATTTTTTTTTTTTTTTTTTAAAAAACGGAGTTCAAAAGGGAATTTTCAAGAAAAGAGCCTGCTTCTGCTGAGGGTACAGATACAGAAGAATAAACAAGTATTTGTATTTTAGGCCTTCCTGGTCTTTTTAGCCATGCTCCAAGGACTACAACATTGGAAAAATAATGCTAATTAAGTTTTTGGCCATTTACATCATAATGACTTGTAAAAAGAAAATTGTTCTTCTAGAGAGAAAGCCTTCTCTTTAATAGCTGAAATTATATAAAAAGATTGCCTTACATCAATTAATTCAAAATAGGGTAGATTGCATCTGCAGTCATAGGTAAAACTGATTACCAATTAAAAAAAGGTCATACTCTCACATAGCAATTATTATGTCTTTCCATCAAACTGGGAGAGGATCTTATACAAGATTATAAAATGGCCTGCCTGCACTATTTTATTCAATATTATTATGGACTATGCCATCAGCAAAGGATCACATACCTGTAAAACCTGCAGCTGACAGCAAAGAACAAGTGTGAAATATTTCACTTCAGCAAAGACATGCTGAATGACAAATATCAAAAAGAATATAACTGATCAGGTACAGGGGGAAAAAAAACCCCAGGCTGCAAGCGTAGTTGTGTTGATACACTTACAGTCTGACATTTATGAGAAGAAAAAATAAAAAAAGAAATCTGAGATTTATTTCAAAGGGAAAACTATATAAAACATGGAATAGCAGTGGCAAGGCCTAATCTAGATTGGTGTGTCCAGTTTTAAGCAATGCATTTTAAAGAAAAATTTAGACAAAAATTGAGAGTAACAAGAACGATAAAATGTTGGGGGTGGTGGGAAGGCCTAGAAAAGATTGAAAAAACCATGCTTGTCAGTCTAAAGAGAGATGAAGAATAGCAGGTGAAAATCCAATGGACCCAAAGGTAGTTTCAATATGTGAAACATCAGAGATAACAATGACCCCCGGCTTGATAGGGCTGCTGAAGGGAATACGAGAAGTAGTCTAGATTTGCAGCACAGAAGTTTCAGGGTGGTATTAATAAAATCTCAACTATTGAAACTTGTGAAAAACTACAACTACAATATTTATGTAGATCTTAAACCCATGCAAAATAGTACAAAAATAGAAATGACCTTGAAGCAATTCTGACCCTAGAGATCTCACTAGATGACTGGTTTCAAGCTGTTGTCTCTGGATACGGGACCTGAATATCCCGACTCCTTCTAGGGAGTCTGAAAGACAAGAGAAGCAGGTTTGCATTCACAGTAACAAGGGTTCACAACTTCTTGGGTGTCAAGGATGAAATGGCAGCTTCACAATCCAGTGTCTAAGATAAAATAAGAATGGAGAATAACTAGAGCAGTCTAAGATTTGGCTTTTCCTTTTGTGTATTATATGCCTGAACTACAATGTTTTGTATCCAAAAGACAGCAGCAGATATCGGACTACTTCCACATGCTGGTGTCACAGAGACATTCTTGACAAAGAAGCTGAGGTCTGCTTGATCTGTTAGAGATCTGAGGTTTGCATTTGGCATGCTCTTCCTCAGCTTTCCATGGACTGAGGGACAGTGCAAAAGCAAGTCAATTAAGCTGTGGTATTTTTGAATTTGTATAAAACACATTCTGGAAGGGCAGCTCATTCTCAAGAGGTTGTTTACTGCAAAGAGAAGCTGTAGATCTTAATCCTAATGTGGAACGCAGCCCTACCATGGGCTGCATCAAAAGAAGCATGACCAGAAGGTTGAGGGAGGTGATTCTGCCCCTCTCCTCTGGTGAGACACCACCTGGAGTACTGTGTCCAGCTGTACTGTCCCCAGCATAAGGAGATGGACCTGTTGGAGCAAGTCCAGAGGAGGGCCATGAAGATGATCAGAGGGATGGAGC